GGTTAGGGTTATTTTAGATATTAGGGTTAGGGTTATTGTAAAGATTATTAGGGTTAGAATTTTTGTTAGGGTAAGGATAGGGATTATTTTGAAGATTAGGTTAAGGGTTATTGTAAAGATTAGGGTTAGGGTTATTGTAAAGATTAGTGTTAAGTTTATGTTACGGTTATTGTAAATATTAAGGTTAGGGTTATTGTGACGATTATTGTAAGGTATGAACGTTCATGATGACATAAGGATATACAAATATTTATAGTCATTATTTGTTTTGTTGTTATTCTTATATGAAAGCAACTGTACTCATACAGTTGTCAGTTTTATTGTATGTATTGGTCATGATATAACCATTTAATGTAAATGAGTTTGTGCAAATAAATATTGTCTATTATCTATTAAATAAGGGATAATAACAATGTACAACAATGGATTTGTGTGGAGATCTTCCGCAATCATCTGTTGAGTTTAAATGAAGATGAAACTTTGTGTTAAGCCTTTCCTCTGACTTTTGGTAAAAATAATTTGCAATTCGAAGATTTTCCGCAATCTTACGCATACTTTAGTAAAGAGTGAAATAAAAAAAAAATACGGACTCCAAGGAAAATTCAAAACGGAAAGTCACTTATCAAATGGCAAATTCAAAAGTTCAAACATATCAAACGAATGGATAACAACTGTCATATTACTGACTTGGTACAGGCATTTTCTTATGTAGAAAATGGTGGATTAGACCTTTTTTATTGATAGCTAAACCTCTACATGAGTTATATGTAGCTTGTCTGAAATTTTATGATCTATTGCTGTAATTTGGTTCAGATATAAACTTTTCTGGAGATCTTTTGCTGACTTCGGATGAAGGAGAATGCTCGTCCGGAACTCTTTTGTAATCTTTATCTGACTTTTAGATCAGCTGATTTGCATTCATAGATTAACCGCAATCGTCCGCAGAATTTACATAAAGTTGAAAGTTCCGCAATCGTGGGCTGACAATTGGCAAAGTTGAATCTTTTCTGGAGATATTACGTAATCTTCTACTGACTTTCGGTAAAGTTGAAAGCTTGCCTGGAGATTTTCTGTTACCTTGACTTTTGGAAAGTTGAAAGCTTGTCTGGATATTTTCCACAATCATTTTTTGCTGACTTTTAAAGTTAAAAGTTTGTCAGACGATCTTCTGCAATCTTCCGCCGTGTTTTGATGACTTTATGAATTGTCTGATGATATTCCACATCGTCAGATCGTTTAAAGTGTCTGGACATCTATTCTTCAGCAATCCTGTGCTGACTTTTGAGGAAGTGCTTATTGCTGTTAAAATCTTCTGCAATGTTCCACTGTCTTTTGTTACAAAAAATTCGCACCATAGATCTTTTTGCAAAATTTCACTGCATTTATAAAATGCAAAATAAAATTTATATGCATTGTATTATGATTTATGGTATAGTGTTTTCTGAAGATCTTCAGCAATCATCTGTTAACATTGAGTGTAATATTTGGCCATGTAGAAAGCTGTGAAGTAATATTCCAATGCAAACGGCTACAGAAAATTCATCGAAATCGATTTGCTTTTAATATGATAAACAGTGTAAAGTGTAAAGAGAGATAACTCTTACTAAAAAAATTGTGCGGTTTGGCAGGGTTAAAAGCGAGGGGAATAAACTGAATGATATATTATACCAAACATTTGTACTTACATAAGCAATACCACGGGTGCCACATGTGGAACAGGATCTACTCACTTTTTCGGAGTACCTGAGATCACCCCTAGTGTTTTGATGGGGTTCGTGTTGCTCAGTCTTTAGTTTTCTATGTTGTGTTTTGTGTAATGTTGTTTGTCATTTTTGGTCTTTTTCTTTTTTTGCCATTTCGTTGTTAGTTTATTTTCCACTTATGAGTTTAAATGTGCCTTTGGTATCTTTCACCTCGCTTATATTAATTGTTATTGGCCTTGAACTAGCTTTTAGTAACTAAGAGTACTCTCAGATCGATATGTTATGTCTTCGGTCTTTTTGTTAGTTTTTTTTGTGTCTTGTATCGATCTGATGAGTTAATTACTTTTTCAACTGATTTTTACAGTCTTTGTTTTTGTTACACCACTGGTGCATGTGAGGGGAGGACTGGGCGCCCGCAAACATTTTTAACCCGCCACATTATGTACGAGTCCCAAGTTATGAGCCTTTAATTCAGTGTTTGTCGTTTGTTGTTGTTTATCATATTTATTTTTCGTTTATTTTGTTTTGTACATAAATCAGGCCGTTGATTTTCTTGTTTGAATTGTTTTACGTTATGTCATGTCGGGTCTTTTATAGCTTGTAAAGCTGTATTGGTTTTACTCATTGTTTAACGACGTACGGTTACATACAGTCTGACTAAAGCCATCCCCCACTATCCACTTCCGTTCGTGGATAGTGGAGACTGGCTTTAGTCATAATGGATTACCTATAGTTGCCAACATCTGCGTCGTTTGGTATCTACTGAATAGTTGTCTCATTGGCAATCATACCACATTTCCTTATTACTATATTAGATGGCGCCGTGTTGTCAAAATAATTTTAACAAATATTACACATATACTTTAAAGTCTGTTTCTTGGTTGATGCAACCATGTATTTGGCTACCCAAGGTATTGGCAGTGCTCTTTCCCGGTGCACAGCGATGAAACCAATATATGGCATTGTCTTCACGAGTATCACAATTATCATCATGTGATTTTTTTTGCCAAGTTAGTATATGTAAAATAAGCTACGCAAATTGGTTTTGTATTCGAAATGACTGTATGCGACTTTTATCTCATCACCGTTCTTCAACTCTAAACTGTGTAAAACTATCTCTCTTTGATTAAAAGTTGTTTTATTTCATTCGGAAAAGTATTGAAATGTGTAACTGTAGTTTTTCCTCTACATGATAAAATTAAACTGAAATATCTAGAAAAGTGAGTTTCTTTTGTATATTTCGAGAGTGCATATTAAATTGACTTAAGGTCAAAATTTCAGTGAAACATCTGTTTTGTATGACCTAATATTATGAATAAAAGTGTGTGTGTGTAGTAAAAACTACTAAGAAATCAACTCAAGAATACATATGAAAAAAAGTACAAGATTACAGATGTATGTTCGCGTTATGAACGCTGCTAACATTATTTTTTTAAAGCTAAATGCTAGGAACAATCGGTTATAAGGTATTTTTATGCTATCTTCCTACAACCGTAACAAACCATCTGATATGATGTAAGTGCAGAATTCGACGAAAAGTTCTTTTTGATACCGTATGGGCAATGTATAAATGAATGGAGAAACTAGAAAGTAAATTGCAAAATTTTTACTTATTCGTAAAAAATTCTTTCATATTAAAATACACAATATACATACATCTGTACAACACGATAATAATGAATGAAAATACATAAAAACACTTATAACATATTACTTAACATATTACATAATACAATAGCTAGGCCTAGAAAAGGGGTCAACTAAGCCAAGCCAAAAATGTCATAGTTAGACAAAACAACAAATTTCTAAGTTAAGAAAAGGAGTTGAAAAAAGGGGATGGAGGGAGGGAAAATTGATAAAATCCCAAATAAAATGTTTACATAAATATCGATCGTGTTGATTATCAAGAATGTGTAAAACTGTGACGTGTAGTGTAAATACTGCAACACAAGATCTAGTGCAGGGGCTCCCCATAGGGAAAGGCAAAAATTAAATTAGCATAAAACTAAAGATTTCTGTCATCTGCATGAAATAAGTTATTAAAATGATGTAAGTGCAGAATTCGACGAAAAGTTTTTTTTTGATATCGTATTGGCAATGTATAAATGAATGGAGAAACTAGAAAGTAAATTGCAAAATTTTTACTTATTCGTGAAAAATTCTTTCATATCAAAATACACATCTGAATATATATACATCTGTACAACACGATAATAATGAATGAAAATACATAAAAACACTAATAATATATTACATAACATATTACATAATACAATCAGTCAGGGGCATTACTTAAACAAGTAACATTTTTTATAACTCAATCAAGTAATAATTTGAATCTGCTGGAGTTATCTCTCTTTATTTACTGGTTTTAAAAAATTACTTATTTAAGTAATTTTTTTTTAAACTAGAGTTATCGCCCTTTTGGATAAAAATTACCTGTTTAAGTCATTATTTTGTAGATAAAATAATTGAAACAAGTTATCTTTTTTAGCTGAAATAAACAAATATGTGTGAGCTTTTGGTAATGTGAATAACTTGGATTATTTCCCTTGTTTTCAAATATATTGATTTTTGTTGTCTATGACTCTGTATATTCATATTATACAGTTGTATATTCAAATAAGAGAGGTGAAATATACCAACGGAACATTCAAACTCATAAATGTTTGGAAATATAAAACAAACACAATAAATTCTTTTAATTTTAATTTTGATTGAATGAAACAAGGTAGCATTTATTATGATTATACATAAAAAAAAATGTGAACGTCTATACCTTTCATTACACAAATCTGAAGTATGTGGCATTGATTGTGGTTTATACATATACTTTTTTATGTCATGCTTTATTTCTGATAGATTTATTGTTTTATTTTTGATCAGAGAACCTTTTATTATCTTATAAGACAATTTAATACAAAAATAATGGATTAACATGCATGTGATCACAACTAAGGTTCTTCTGAATTGAACATCCAAACTATCTAATAAGTCTTTGTAATGTACACAAATGAAAGAAATGTTGATGCTTCATTATTTTGTTAAAATACTTATTTCAAACATGTAAATTTTGGGGATCTGAAATACATTGTCAACCAATAAAAAATTCCCACTGCTTTAAAAATTAAAATATGACGAAGTTCCATTTCTTTATACATTGTAAACAAAGGTACATCATCCCAAAAATAAGCATAAAGAGTATTATGATTTTTTTTAAATCTTAGGTTTAAAAACAACAAAACAAAGATTACACATTTACTATTTGTATAAACAGTAATGATCAAAAACTATAATATATATAAATAACGTTATCAAGATATTTAAAAAAATAGTTACCTTAAAGAGGTTTTTTTAATTACCAAAACATTTTTTGGGGGGAAAATTACACAAAGGAGTTATTTAAAATTTCAATAAAAACATGGGCTACATGAACATTGTTGAGGTTGAAATGAGCGTTTTCATTATTTTATACAAAAAAAAAGTAGACCTTACTTTGCTTAACATTTTTGCCATAACAGTTTATCTCTATCTATAATAAAATTAAGAGAAGTATACAGATGTATAACATTAATTTAAAAAAATTACAAAAATATAACTTATTTCAGTTATTTTTTAAATAATTAATTCCTTCATGATTTCTATAAAAGAACAAGAGGCTCTCAAGAGCCTGAATCGCTCACCTGTAATTTTTTGCTTAAATCTTTCATCAATAATGAAATGCTATGTTCTATTCTTAGCCATGGGGGCCATGTTTCCTGAGGAAACAGAAAATAAAACACAAACGTTATACTAGTTACCCTTTAGAATTATTCAGCTTAAGTTTGATTGATTTTGGTTTGGTAGTTTCAGAAGAATTTTTTTTAAGTGGGCAGCAAACATGAGGATAAAATTTTGAAAATTGTCTTTAAAGGGCAATAACTCTTTAAGGGGTCTATTGACAATTTTGGTCATTTACGTTATTTGTAGATCTTACTTTGCTTAACATTTTTGCCCTAACAGTTTATCTCTATCTATAATAATATTCAAGATAATAACCAAAAACTGAAAAATTACCAAATTACCAAATTAGTGGCAGCAACCTAATAATGGGTTGTTCAATTTGTCTTAAAAATTCAGGGCTGATAAATCTTGACATAATAAACACTTATAAAAAATTAAAGTTCTTATTCATAGTTTTTAAAAATGACAGAGAATTGAAAATTGTTTGAAATCAAATCAGAGATTTTGCTCAATAACAAAAAATCCTGACCTGAAACTGTTAAAAGGAAAAACAAATGTTATAACAGAAAACACTACTCACATTTCAACAGTTTTTCAAAAGACCCTGAGATGTATCACAACATATTTTAACTTTCACAAAACGAGATACAAAGCTCTCCCTTAAATATCCTACCATTGCCTACATCCAAAATCATAACCAATGACATAAAACACTACTTTAGATTTATACAGCAAATCAAAGGATCCCCAAAATATTAAGATGTGTTAAAAAACTGAGATTGTAGCAAGAAACCATGCACATTCTCTTTAACAACTTCAGTCAGCTATCATGTCTAGTAAAAAATAACAGTGTATACATCTTAAAAGTATATAGATTAAGAAGACACAACATTTTCTATATAACTTGCACCTTCATCATGGTTATACATATAACTACAATATAACTACAATAAAAAAATAACATCGAAATAAAAACCTAGATTTCATGGAGATTGTATAAGTAACATTTTCAAAACTGCTAAAGTGAAATATCAACATCATAACAAATGACACAAAACCTACTTTACATTCATACAGCAAGTAAAAAGAGGTTGAGATTAAACTTTTCTATAAACATCTTCACTTATCCATTAACAACTTCTATAAACAGCATCACTTATTCATTAACAAAATATAACTATATAACTTTAAAAGTTTACAAAACATCTAACACATTACAGTCATTGCACCATTAAAATAAACCAAGACTGTATACATGGTATAAGCAAGATTAAAATAATTTCAATGGACTGTATTGTTGGCTAAAATTTTCTAACCCGTTACATGATAGGACAGACAAAACCATTTACCAGAAAAGTAACTCAACAGAGTTATATAAAATTTTAAGAAAATCATGGGCTGCATGACATTAGTGGATTTAATGAATTGTATATCTTGTTTGAAACAACATGATCAAAACAAAGTTATTTAATTTCAACATCATTATAGAAAATATTTTCACAATTGAACTGTCAAAAAAACTAACCTACCCTCTGCTTTAAGTACAAAATACTTGAACTTATAACTGTAAAAATGGATAATAAAATATAATAACATAACAATCTTCTTCATATTCATACAGCATATAAACATGATAAAGACCCTGAGATTGTATAGCAACATATTTCAACTTTCTCTCTCTAAAAATGAGAAATAACACTCCCACTTAACTATCTTACATCCCAAATCATTGCAAATGAAATAAAACCTACTTTACAATCATACAGCAAATTATAATACCCTGGAATAAAACTTTTCTTTGAACAACATCACCTGAACACAGGGGTAAAAATTAACACTGGGACAGGACAAAAAAAATTTTTGTCTGACTAGATTTTGTCAGCTGTGGGTCTGGCTGACCAGTACAAAAATGTTGATAAAAAGCTTAAATTCGACCCTGCTTACACATCATGAACAGTGACAAAAAAAGCTATATAACTAAAAAGGTACAAAAGACTAAAATAAACTGATAAAGTCAACATGTTTCTTCATTGAGGTTTGGGAAAAACATTTTTATGGACCTCCTTTTCTGTACCTTTTCTGGAGGGTCCATTTGCTTCAAAATCTTAGTTTCTGCTATATTACATATGTCAGGTATTTCTGGCCAATTAAAGAGATTTTCCTCTACTCTCTTCAAGCATTTTACTTTGTAGAGGGGTTCATCATCTTCCCCTTTTGCCAATTCTAAAATCTAAAATAATAAGAATAAAATATAAAGTACATGTAGTATTATTTGCACGTGCATATTGACATAGCAGTCACAAGTAGCACGAGTAGAACTCATTATATATAAATTGAAAATATTTCTTGCAATTGTGAAGCCTTTACCATGTTAACCATGTTTACTGTATGATTAAGCATTGACCAGCATGTGTTTTCTTGAATTATCAACATATTTATTAAGTGAACTGACTTCTGAGAGTAGCATATATTCAGAAAATTCAGTTCTAATTTCTATTAACACATGAGTACAGGAAAACATCTTTTCTAAGTAGATAACATTTTATCATGCAGAACACCGCATCATAAAAATATGAACTCTTTAGTAGAAGTGGACAAATCCTCAAAAATACTTGCCTCTGCTATGTATTTTCTTTTCTTGCTGCTTTTCACCAGGTCGAATTCAACTAGTAAAAAATCACCTGAAAAGATCAAATTGCAGTTATCTATTACTGTAAAGGGCAAGGCACAAAAAACAATTGGTAGCCCAAGAATAAAGATGCTTTTTCAGCTTTGCACCAGTTTATTTTATACCTTTCTAGTTCGAACATTTATTATGTCCTTTATACATTGTCTGTAAGACTACCCTTTTCTTGCAAATTAGATTCCACTGAAACTTTCACATTTCAGACTTGAAATATATAGGGTATAATACTAATCAACTCCTGCTACAAATACATATAAAAGGTACCAGGCTTATAATTTATATTACGCCAGACGCGGGTTTCGTCTATTAAAGACTCATCAGTGACGCTCAAATCGAAAAATATACATACCTATCTTAAATGCATGAGTATTTTTCACCACTTCTATACCATCCTGAAAAACAATGAACTCATTTCTATAATTAATTAGAAGTCTTTTTCCTAAACATGATAAACGTCTTTAACTAATTAATTTTCAGTAATTGGTAAATATTGGCCATCCTGTTCATGTTTCACTTGATAGTAATGATTTTTCAATCATTAATCAGGCTCAAGAATTTTTGATTAATTTGATAGGATTTCCATGGTATTGTTATTTATGCACATGTTTACCTAATTATGGTAATTGTTAAATAATTTTTTAATAGCTATTCATTTAATGCCATCTAATGCCTATATTTCACTCATCTCGACAAAAGGAGTCGTGAGTACTTCATGAAAGAATCAGTTCCTATAAAAATTGTCTATTTAAAACATTGGTAGTGGTTAAATCATGTTTGGTCAACTCCTTCGAATTCATTCAATACTCATCTTAAAACTGACACATTGAGAATTTTAGTCCATTGATGAAGACCTTCCCGCATTTGCTCGCTTTTCACTTAAAGATTTGACAGTAATGTACAGGTTTTAGTAATTCAAGTGAAACAACAATACAATAAACTGTAAATATGAAGCAGGCAAATCTCCACATTCTGATGAGGTGTGCCTTTTTATGATTTTCTAGTGGTGTTTAAATTAAGATTAAACCATGCTTAGCTATCGGTTACAAGACCTGCTGTCAACCTCGGTGAGGTAGGGAAACTATGGTGTTTGATTATCTTCATGCATTGCATGCATTTATAAGAAAAGGAATTAGAAAAAAAAGGAAAAACAAATTTGCTGTTATTTCTGAAAAATATACCATGCACATGTTAAATCTACCATCTATAGCAAAAAAACATGAGCAGAAAAACCAACTACCTTGTCTGGGACCTCCATCAACTCAGAGGCCAAAGCTGTTAGAAACGATGATTCACTATTCAACAATAAAATAACCTAATATTAACATGTTTTATATAATATAGAAATGCAAAATTTATTACATGGGGTTGCTTGAAATGTTTTGAGCTCTGAGGGTATCACCAGCCCAGTAGTCAACACTTTGGTGTTGGCATGAAATATCAATGATGTTTTTTGTTTTTTTTTATAAATTTACTGTTTGAAAAACATAGAATTATTATAAATACTAAGGATTTTCTACCTCAAGGCACAGGTTACCTTAGCCGTTTTTGGCACAACTTATTGAATTTTTGGTCCTCAATGCTTTTATTTAGCCTTACAATTATTTTGATTTGAGCATCACTGATGAGTCTTGTATAGACAAAACACACATCAGGTGTAGCAAAAATTAAATGCCTGGTAACTCTCATAAGTATTGTATCAATTTAAATTGGAAAATGTATGACAGCTAGAAAGAATGAAATGTTAACTCTTAAGACAATGCAAGACATTCTTCATTTGGTAAATAAAACGTTCAAAAACACATTCTTGATATTAAAGCTCTTTTCCTTATGCTGAAGCCTGTAATAAACAGGAACAGTTAAATTCGAACACAGTGCAATATTGAAAACAGTGAAACAACAATAAAATAAATATATATAATAGGTTGATAATTCAATGTCAACTATATTTGCACAACATTCTCAAGTGAACAGAAAATTTATTAACATATGATCAATAAAATAATTCTATTATTTTACCTCAACAAGGAACTATCCAGAGGGTAAAGTGGACTCATCTCATCTTCACTATTATAACCATAACTGCCATGAAAACTAAAAAAAAGAATAAACTCAATAATTGTGTAAACTTTATAAAAACAAAATGCTCTCAAGAGCCTGAACATGCTGAATCTCTCGCCTGAAGGTTTTTGCTTAAATCTTTCATCAATGATTATTTTTGCTTTTCAATGCATATAAATATACTTACACATGCCATTTAAGTGTTCTTTGTACATGTATCTGTCATATTTTCTTCTATGTTCTATTTTAGCCATACATGCCATGGTCTTTATTTTTAGCAGTTTTTGAGCTATAAGCCTAAAACTGCATTTAACATCTTTGCCGTGGTGGCCATAGTTTTGGACTTAACAGAAAATAAAACAAACTTTATTAAAGATACCCTCTAGATCCTTCAGCTTAAGTTTGGTTTGAATTGGTTCAGTTGTTTCAGAAGAGAAGATCTTTGAAATAGTTTACACCAGATGATGGACCATGACGACAAACAATCAATTCAAGCAAGAAAATAAACAGCCTGATTTAAGGAAAAATAATAAATGAAAATTTGGATTAAGATAACAAAGACAACCGCTATATTAAAAAAATGGTCATTACTGTTTTATTGATTTACAAACCTATCATCTATAACCATGTCCTCATCTTCATATAGTTTCTTTTGACATTCTGGTCTACAAAAAATAAGTATTAACATGTAGTATTGTACTAAAAGCATTTTATCCTGCCAGCAACCTTTCTACTATACAAATAAAGGTGAACAGATAACAGAAGCATTGAACATATACTGGTATCAGTTTTCTGTTGCAAGCTGTTATGTTAAAGCTCAGTTCAATCTGGGTTCTACATTTAATACATATGTATGCTGTTTCAACTTTTATTAAATGAACAATATCAACTTTTATGTGTAAATTGTAAGATACAAACAAAGGATAATAAGAATAATAACTGATATAAGTTACATTCTAAGCCCATTTTTAACATAACTTATTTAGGTAATTTTAAAAGTTACTTTTTAAGAAATGCTCTTCTTCTTGTCAATCAGATTTATTTAAAGATTGATCTTAATCTTCACTTTCATCTCTCAATACCAGATATTGATTAATTGATATTGATTTGATTAATTGCATTTAATCAGCCAGTGGTTACCTAAACAAGTTATATATTTTTTAAAATTACCTAATTTTTAAGAAAAGTTACTCTCAAGAGAATAATATTAAATTTCAATTGAAACAAAGGTTACAGAAACAGTGATGAGTTTTAAAAAAAGAAGAGTTTTTACATTCTTCTAAAACATAAATAAAGTGACCATTGTTTTGAAGACAACCTTTAATCAATCTACACATCAATGTGCTTCTTTCTTAAAAGGTTTAAATCATTTCCCCAATACCAGATATTTGTTAATTGCATTGAAGTATCACGACTTACCCCGATTCATTTAAAGGATGCTGCTCTTCATCTTCTTTGTCATCATTGTCATGTGGTCTAAAATTAAATATATGCAATTACTCCACTTTCCTTCAAAATGAAGTCATTTAATAAATTCTTTATTTTCCTTCACCGTACAAATATTGTTAAGTATTTGTTAATTATTTGATGTTAACTATGAGCAGGATGAAGTCAACATTTTAATCAGCCAGTGATTACCTAAACAAGTTATATTTTTTTTTAATTACCTAAACAGGTATTTTTTGGGAGACGACTTCATAAGTTTGTTTTAACTTGGGTCGCATCCTTTTTGTATATTTAACAAATAAAATATGTTAAGACTGGGGCACTAGCTGTAAAATGTATGTTCACCGATTTGACTGAAACTCTCATAATAAAATTTACTAAGAGGACCTCGACCAACACATGATCAAGTCAACATTTTAATCAGCCAAGGGTTACCTAAACAAGTTATATATTTTTCTAATTACCTAAACAGGTAATTTTTAAATGTGCTTCTTTCTTAAAAGGTTTAAATCATTTCCCCAATACCAGATATTTATTAATTGCATTTAAGTATCACGACTTATCCTGATTCATTTAAAGGATGCTGCTCTTCATCTTCTTTGTCATCATTGTCATGTGGTCTAAAATTAAATATATGCAATTACTCCACTTTCCTTCAAAATGTAGTCATTTAATAAATTCTTTATTTTCCTTCACCGTACAAATATTGTTAAGTACTTGTTAATTATTTGATGTTAACTATGAGCAGGATGAAGTCAACATTTTAATCAGCCAGTGGTTACCTAAACAAGTTTTATTTTTTTTAATTACCTAAACAGGTATTTTTTGGGAGACGACTTCATAAGTTTGTTTTAACTTGGGTCGCATCCCTTTTGTATATTAAACAAATAAAATATGTTAAACTGGGGTACTAGCTGTCAAATGTATGTTCACCGATTTGACTGAAACTCTCATAATAAAATTTACTACGAGGACCTAATCAACACATGATCAGGTCAACATTTTTCATCAGCCAAGGGTTACCTAAACAAGTTATATATTTTTCTAATTACCTAAACAGGTAATTTTTAAATGTGCTTCTTTCTTAAAAGGTTTAAATCAATTCCCCAATACCAGATATTTATTAATTGCATTTAAGTATCACGACTTACCCGGAATCATTTAAAGGATGCTGCTCTTCATCTTCTTTGTCATCATTGTCATGTGGTCTAAAATTAAATATATGCAATTACTCCACTTTCCTTCAAAATGTAGTCATTTAATAAATATTAAATTCTTTATTTTCCTTCACCGTACAAATATTGTTTAGTACTTGTAAATTATTTGATGTTAACTATGAGCCGGATGAAGTCAACATTTTAATCAGCCAGTGATTACCTACACAAGTTATATTTTTTTTAATTACCTAAACAGGTATTTTTTGAGAGACGACTTCATAAGTTTGTTTTAACTTGGGTCTCATCCCTTTTGTATATTAAACAAATAAAATATGTTTAAACTGGAGCACTAGCTGTCAAATGTATGTTCACCGATTTGACTGAAACTCTCATAATAAAGTTTACTACGAGGACTTCGATCAACACATGATCAAGTCAACATTTTAATCAGCCAAGGGTTACCTAAACAAGTTATATATTTTTCTAATTACCTAAACAGGTAATTTTTAAATGTGCTTCTTTCTTAAAAGGTTTAAATCATTTCCCCAATACCAGATATTTATTAATTGCATTTAAGTATCACGACTTACCCTGATTCATTTAAAGGATGCTGCTCTTCATCTTCTTTGTCATCATTGTCATGTGGTCTAAAATTAAATATATGCAATTACTCCACTTTCCTTCAAAATGCAGTCATTTAATAAATTCTTTATTTTCCTTCACCATACAAATATTGTTAAGTACTTGTTAATTATTTGATGTTAACTATGCGTAGGATGAAGTCAACATTTTAATCAGCCAGTGGTTACCTAAACAAGTTATATTTTTTTTTAATTACCTAAACAGGTATTTTTTGGGAGACGACTTCATAAGTTTGTTTTAACTTGGGTCGCATCCCTTTTGTATATTAAACAAATAAAATATGTTTAAACTGGGGCACTAGCTGTCAAATGTATGTTCACCGATTTGACTGAAACTCTCATAATAAAATTTACTACGAGGACCTAATCAACACATGATCAGGTCAACATTTTTCATCAGCCAAGGGTTACCTAAACAAGTTATATATTTTTCTAATTACCCAAACAGGTAATTTTTAAATGTGCTTCTTTCTTAAAAGGTTTAAATCAATTCCCCAATACCAGATATTTATTAATTGCATTTAAGTATCACGACTTACCCCGATTCATTTAAAGGATGCTGCTCTTCATCTTCTTTGTCATCATTGTCATGTGGTCTAAAATTAAATATATGCAATTACTCCACTTTCCTTCAAAATGTAGTCATTTAATAAATATTAAATTCTTTATTTTCCTTCAGCGTACAAATATTGTTAAGTACTTGTTAATTATTTGATGTTAACTATGGGCAGGATGAAGTCAATATTTTAATCAGCCAGTGGTTACCTATACAAGTTATATTTTATTTTAATTACCTAAACAGGTATTTTTTGGGAGACGACTTCATAAGTTTGTTTTAACTTGGGTCGCATCCCTTTTGTATATTAAACAAATAAAATATGTTTAAACTGGGGCACTAGCTGTCAAATGTATGTTCACCGATTTGACTGAAACTCTCATAATAAAATTTACTACGAGGACCTCGATCAACACATGATCAAGTCAACATTTTAATCAGCCAAGGGTTACCTAAACAAGTTATATATTTTTCTAATTACCTAAACAGGTAATTTTTAAATGTGCTTCTTTCTGAAAAGGTTTAAATCATTTCCCCAATACCAGATACTTATTAATTGCATTTAAGTATCACGACTTACCCTGATTCCTTTAAAGGATGCTGCTCTTCATCTTCTTTGTCATCATTGTCATGTGGTCTAAAATTAAATATATGCAATTACTCCACTTTCCTTCAAAATGTAGTCATTTAATAAATTCTTTATTTTCCTTCACCATACAAATATTGTTAAGTACTTGTTAATTATTTGATGTTAACTATGAGCAGGATGAAGTCAACATTTTAATCAGCCAGTGGTTACCTAAACAAGTTATATTTTATTTTAATTACCTAAACAGGTATTTTCTTATGGAGATGACTTCATAAGTTTGTTTTAACTTGGGTCGCATCCCTTTTGTATATTAAACAAATAAAATATGTTTAGACTGGGGCACTAGATGTCAAATTCATGTTCACTGATTTGACTGAAACTCTCATGATAAAATTTACTACGAGGACCTAATCAACACATGATCAGGTCAACATTTTTATCAGCCATGGGTTACCTAAACAAGTTATATATTTGTTTAATTACCTAAACAGGTAATTTTTAAAGTTACTCTCAAGGGAATAATATTAAATTTCAATAGAACCAAAGGTTACAGAAACAGTGATGAGTTTAAAAAAAAAAAGTCTTTACATTCTTTTAAAACATAAAGAAAGTGACCATTGTTTTGAAGACAACCTTTATTCAATCTACACTTTAATGTGCTTCTTTTTTTTCATTTTTATTAGATGTTTCTTTTGTTTTAGAAACATAAAAACAATACTTACGTTTCCCATCGTCTTTTTTTCCATTTTCTCCCACTTCCATTTGTTGGAGCACCACTACTCTATTAGATCTACAAATGTAATACTTTTTACTTTTGCATTTAAATAATTTAGATCAATGACGTTTAATAAAAACAATGGATAAAACATTAGTCCTTAATCATGTTAATTTGGAATGTCCCTTATTGTTTATAAAAAAAGAAGTTCATGTTATAATAAAATGAAAAGTTGCTTACATCTATACTTTTGCAGATCATAGCACTTTAGCATACAGAGGCATTGAACTTTAGCAAAGGCCACACCCTTTAGTATGACCATCAAATTTAAGCGTCCCAATCGAACTAAAAAAAAAAAAAGAGTCCTACATTTTTATATCTACCTTCAAGATTTCTAAGGAAAATGACTTCTGAATAGTCTCAAAAGACCAATCTTTTAACCCAAAGTGTCAACTTCAAATGTTTATGAAAGTTAAATTTGTATGGATAATCACCTCTGTAAAGTATATTAAGAAAAATAACTCATAGAAGTTATATTTGAAATAACCTCAATTTCAACATTAGGTAATTTTAAAGTTAGTTTGACTTACCCAGATTCATTTGAAATATTCTCATCCTCTTCACTTTCACTCGTTCTAAAATTAAATAGTTGCAGTTAATTAACATTTTTCTTTCAAAACTAGAGGTACTGTGATCAGAGCTCACAAAATTATACCCCCGCTCCTAGCAAAGTTCATGTTTTGGTATTGGAAACCCTAAAAATCAATTTGACCAAAAACCAAATAGGAGGTGCACAATGGCGTTATATGATTAAGAATCTGAAAAAGTTTCATTTCATTCTGATTAGTGGTTAAGGAGGAGTTGTGGATACAAAGTGAAACATTGTGCGGGAGGGACGAACGGAAGGACTGACTTCCCCATCACTATACACCTCCACTTTAAAAAGCGGGGGTATAATAAGACTTGCAATGAATTATAGTAAATATTTACTTTAAAAAAATCTTAACTCTAATTAAAGTGTACACAAAAATTGACCACACTTTGAATAATAAATCTCAACCATATTTGAAACACTTTTCAATTGTAAGACATAGATGTTGCCCTATGTTTTATTTAGTTATCCTGTTTTAGAACCTGTTTTAGAACTTTTTCATTAATGTTTACCGAACATCTTTTAATCAAAACAATAAGCAAATATTTCATGAATGAATGAATAAAATAAAACCATATTTACGTTTCCCTTTGTCTTGTTTTCCCTCCTCTCCCCCTGCCTCTGACATTTGTTGGGGCACCTCTTCCTCTTCCTCTCCTTGTATTTCCTCTTTCAGATCTACAAATTTGATACTTTTTATTAAAGTAACCTTTGTGAAGTTATTTGCAATAGAATTTCATGTAGTCAGAGGTGATTTAACATTAAAAAATTTCATGAAAGTTAAATTCGTATGGATAATCACCTCTGTAAAGTATATTAAGAACAAGAATGTGTCCATAGTACCCCATAACTCAGAAATGATAAATGAAAAATTTATAAAATTCTAAACAGAGCTTACATCAATAGATATAAACAACAATTCACCAAAGTTTCATAAGAACTGCTGAAAGCATTTTTGATTTTTTGTCGGAAAACTGGAAAATCCCCCTTTTTTTATGAATAAAACCCTGTAACTCGGAAACGTAAAATCTAAAATATATAAAAATCCAAAGGGAGCTCAAGTCAATAGATATAAACAATTCACCACAATTTCTTGCAAGTTGGTGAAAGCATTCTTGAGTTATTGTCCGAAAACTGGAAAATCCCACTTTTTTAATGAATAATCAGGGTCGATAGATCTTGACCAATTAAACAATTTTACCCCTTGTCACATTTGCTCTAAAAGATTTAGTTTTTGAGATATAAGCCAAAAACTGCATTTGACCCTTATGTTCTATTTTTAGCCATGGCGGCCACGTTTGTCGATGGATACAAACTTCAGATATAATTTATAAACAAGATACCCTAAGGAACATTTAGTTAAAGTTTGAAGGTATTTGGCCCAGTAGTTTCAGAGGAGAAGATTTTTAAATGTTAGCAAACTTGATGAACAAATCGTGTAAAATTGTCTTTAAAGGGCAATAACTCCTTAAGGGGTCAATTGACAATTATGGTCATATTAACTTTTTTGTAGATCTTACTTTGCTGAACATTATTGCTGCTTACAGTTTATATATATATATAATATTCAAAATAATAACAAAAAACTGCAAAATTTTGTTAAAACTACCAATTCGGTGGCAGCAACCCAACAATGGGTTGTTCGATTCGTCTGAAAATATCAGAGCTGATAGATCTTGACCAATTGAACAATTTTACCCCACATCAGATTTGCTCTAAAAGCTTTAGTTTTTGAGATATAAGCCAAAAACTGCATTTGACCCCTATGTTCTATTTTTAGCCATGGCGGCCATATTTGTTGATGGATCAAAACTTCAGATACAATTTATTAACTAGATACCCTAAGGAACATTTAGTTAAAGTTTGAAGGTATTTGGCCCAGTAGTTTCAGAGGAGAAGATTTTTGAAATAGTTTACGACGACAGACGACGACGACAACGGACGCCAAGTGATGGCATAAGCTCACATGAGGTCCTTCCGGCCCCGGTGAGCTAAAAAGGAGAAAATTGATTAATTGTGTGATTTTTCAAGGTCTAGGGATCATAAATCTGCAAAATATCATCAAACCAGAACAAAATTTAAACTTGATCTGAAACTTGTCAGACATCGGTAACCTATAAAACCAAATATCAATATAATATCTTTAAGTGTGATGAAAAATCTGTAACTTGTCATGGTTAACCTATAAACCAAAAAGTCCAAGGACCATAACGGCAAAGAATCATCCGACGGGAACAAAATTTAAACTTGATCTGTAACTTGTCATGGTTAAACTAAATGCCAAATATGAAGTCAATATCTTCAAGCATGATGAAACAAGAATGTGTCCATAGTACACCGATGCCCATTATGCCCACTTGCACTATCATATTGTTCAGTGGACTGTGAAATGGGGTTCAAAACTCTAATTTGGCATTAAAATTAGAAATATCATATCATAGGGAACATGTATACTAAGTTTCAAGTTGATTGGACCTCAACTTCATCAAAAACTACCTTGACCAAAAAATTTAACCTGACACGGGACAGACAGACGGACGAAAATATTATTGTTATCACACATTATCTTAACAAGACTCTAAACTTTAAAAGCTACAAAAATAGGATAACCTAAAAAGACTTTATTAGTATATGGAAAGTACATTAGAAATTGTCATTCAAAGAAACAAAATGTTTTCAAAAATCCGCAAAAAAGGGTTTTCTTCTAATGTGAATCAACTATAAACACGTTTGAATAAAATTGAATCGGAAAACATGTTACCAAAGTCATGATCAAACCCAGCTATTTTTGGCTCAGTGGTGTACATTTCAGCATTTGTTTTTTTTAAACTATCTGACGACATAGTAAAGGCATGGTTGGGAGAATTTACTTTCTATTGAAATTATAATAGCGTTTTTTGGACATTAGAGAAACAGATTCTTACATTGTTAGCAGTGGATTATCGTGTTTCTCCAATCTTGATAGTTAAATTATTGAATTTTAAATCCTTGCAGAGGCTCGGACTTAAAATTCCATATTTAACTATCTCTATTGGAGAAACACGATAATCCACTGCTAACAATGAAAGAATCTATATTTCCATAATACTTTATATACATCTTTCTTTAAAAACATAGACATAATTTATAAATGCAATGAAGAATTGATATTAATAGTTGTAATACAAAGATCCAGTTGTTTTTATAAGGGCTCACTGCATGCCATAGGGGCCCTGCTCTAATCATGCTTAAGTGCATCCCTGTATAATAAAACCTAATTGTATCAGGTAAATTTTTCCTGCTACTGGTCTTGGCTTAGCATATTAAAGGGTACAATGTAGTAAAAATATCACTTCTTTAAGTCATCTCTGTGATCATTAAAAAATCTTTGAAATAACTCATCATTAATATACATTGTAATATAAGAAAAATATGTTATTAATTAATATTGTTTTGGGTTATAAATTGTAAAAAACTTGAAAATGATAAAGTTCTAATCAGTGAATCATAATTTCAGGAAATTGATATTTATACTACTATTATCAGATAAATCTTTGACCTACAATGTACAAGCCTGTAGTATATCAGCTTGATTAATTGTTATTCTTCACGGTAAAAATGTCCAGATGTTTGACAAAATCTGTTTATGCAAGGAAAATCTGTTGGAATTTGGAAACCTCTGTATTAGATACACCACAAGGGTGACAACCTGAGAAGGTGTATCTAATTTACACCCCAAGATATATATTGCTTTATGTTAAATTATCTATAATTTAGGAGGGGGTCTTTCATGAATTCTACCTTATTTATTAGATACACCTTTTACAACCCCAGATATTCATGATATTATAATACATGTATATATATATATGTAAAATGAAAAATATAACTATGGCTGGGATTTTTTTGTAGATTAATTAGGCTGTAAGTTTTCTTGTTTGAATTGTTTTACATTTGTCCTTTTGGGGCCTTTTATAGCTGACTATGCGGTATGGGCTTTGCTCATTGTTGAAGGCTGTACGGTGACCTATAGTTGTTAATTTCTGTGTCATTTGGTCTCTTGTGAATAGTTATCTCATTCGTAATCACACCACATCTTCTTTTTTTATACATATTGAATATGGTAGCTAGCAAACAACCAACCATAGAAATGCAAACTTTCAATTACATTTTGTACCTCCAAAACAGTAGGGATCAATATATCATTACACTGAGGTTTAGGGTTTAAAATTGGGTTTAATACTGCACATCAGTAAAATCTGCATTATATCTTTGAATATATATTCTTTTAAAATATTTCATTTGATACAAAATAACTTAGAATAGTAATTTTAATAATCACTAGAGCTTCAACTTTTAAAACTAGAGGCTCTAAAGAGCCTGTGTCGCTCACCTTGGTCTATGTGAATATTAAATAAAGGACGCAGATGG